TTGAAAGAAAGGGGTGTCTCAGCAAGATAAATCAAACCTCGTGGGAGTGTGTTAGCAAAATTAGTAGAGATTTAATACGAGAGCAATAAAATGAAACCTTAAGGGGAGTAAGAGTATTTAACCCTTTTGTATTTATTTTTTTCTTGGTAACATGTGTTTGTTGTCTCTATCAGTTATCATAATGCAAGAGGGTCCAAGTTTAAAGAAAATAGAGCAGTATAGCTTAGGTAACTGATAAGCAAAATATAAAACCTTCCCATATGCCTCATATGAATACTTAAGTGGACATGTTTCGTCAAATGTTACTGAGGATATATGAGCAAAGCACTAGGACTCCTTAAGTGACATGCTGCATGAACTTTCAGAAGATGCTTCAAAAATGGTTAAGGTGCACCTTATCAGTGGCCACACCTTGTGAAATGGGGTCAAGGGCTTCTATGTCATTTTAGATCAACACTGGTGCTTAATTCGAGAAATTTGACTGCTAAAAGGATAATCTATTGGTTGGTAGAAACTTTAAACAAGTTGTAACTCTTACTAATTAAATAAGATAAAAGTATTAATAAAAAGTTGTACTAGTCTTATGCAATCCAACTAAGACTAATACAAAACATTAAAACACTGTAACAACTTATAAATGAAACAGTACAAATAACACGCGAATGAGACAAATTTACTTATTGAATAATGTTGTTCCACCCTAAATTTTGGTATTTGTATACAATCTATGATAATAATCAAATTAACAATATGTTATGACCTTATAAAATATGAAGATGAATAAGGTTGGCTGATGGTGAAGACACTTTTTTAAGTTACGTAAAAATATAAATTTTAGTACTTGTACACAACCTATGATAATGATCAAATTGACAATATGTTACGACTTTATAAAATATGAAAATGAATAAGTTCAGCTGAATAGTTCAAATGATAAAAAACACTTTTTTACGTTATTTGAAAGTATAGGTTCGACTCAACATATTATAAATAATATACTACTAGTTTATTAAACAAAATATTTGAAGGTACTACGAGAAAGAAAAGAAAATATGACATTGAAGACTACAACGTGGACATGTAATTAATAGAGCTGACTCCCAAGAATTAAAACAAAGTGGGGATATTATATTACAAAATATCTCTGAAGCAAAGCCACTGGTCAAAGATTTGCGTTGCTGTCTCTGTCTCCCACACACTGCAGCAAACTCGTATATATATATATATATAACCCACACAAACACACACTATTGCTCATATATAAACATTCTCACAGCACCAAGCACTATGCGCCCCACTTGAGCGCCGGCCTACCTGCCTCGCTGCACCCGCCTTCCTTCAATTCTCCCTCACCAAGCAACGGTCCCTATTTATTATAAAACATTCTCTCTCTTCTTTCTCTCTCTAGATTTGTGGGGTTCTGGTCCTTCTGGACCGCCTGATCGGTCGTTGAATCAAACATAAGTGATGGGGTCGGCTCGCGAGTTGAACGGTCAACGAGGGTGGGTGAATGACACGTGACGTTGGGACCGAATGTGACACATGGCGGGAAATTACACTGTACCGATGGGAAGGAGAAGGGTGTGCGATGACGTGGCGTTTACGTCAGCTTGAGAGCCCTTTAGGAAACAACCTCTCTTGAATTCAGGGTTTCAGGGATAAGGAAAGAATGGTGCCACTTTCGGTGATGATATGATGACGTGGCGAACTATTTCTTTACCTGAATCGCCGCTTTTCCAGTTTTTTCTTCCTTTCCTTTTCAGATTTTTCAATTTTACTTTTGACCATGTGAGAGACCTTTATATATTCATCAATAATTGGTACACAATTTTTTTTGGACATTACAAATTATTTGCTCTTCACAAAAATGGGATGGCCAAATAATGCAAAGCAGAAATGAATAACTATATCAATAAACTAATTGCGCAAATACATTTCATTAACAATTTGAATAAAATTACTTTTACCCTTTAACAAAAAACTAATAATTTGATTTTTTTTTTTTTTAGTTTTTTTAATTTATTTATCATTTTTTTAAATATATATATATATATATGTCTTTTGAAGATAACAAGAAGTGGGCCTGTTTAAGAAACATATGAAAAAAGGAACCTGTTGCTCTAATTGACATTGAGTTGATAGGTCACATAATTGTTACAAATGGCCTGTGGGGGTGTACTTCGGGTCGAGTTGCATAGACTGTGACTTAGAAAAAGAAAGGAAAGAACATAATTGCAATTAATAGCCTACCATGTGGCATTTAGAGTCTAGTTTCTGTAAAAATTTTGAAGATTATGATAATTTATGATTTGAACATTGAAGTCAATTACTTTCACTTTAAAAGTTGATAATGATGTAGCATCTTCCCATAACCATATATATTTCAGATGTTATTATTTTAAATGTTATTATATTGACTTCTTTAGATCAATTATTAAAATACTGTTACACACGTTATCATATTTGAATATTAAACTAATTCAGCATATTATTATTATTATTATTATTATTATTATATATATGATTATTTAGCATAAATACACCGATCTGAAAGAGAATTCAAAGATATTAACATCACCGTCAATGTTCTTGTCGTATTCAGAAAAGAAAATTATTAACCACATGAATCTTATCTTATTTATACACATCCAAATACAACCTACATGTTCCTCAATTTTTCTGTCCTCATCATATTCTTAAAGTCACACACATACCCCAACTAGAAAGGCGACAATTTCCCACCCCTTACAAAAATAAACATTTTAATTTGAATTATCCATGTAGAAGAACTAAAAAGAAAACACTACCAAACAAACAAATCACTCTAGCAAACAGCTGGGAATTATGTTGTAGTGTTTTGTCATCACAGTTTAGCACACCCATTGTCCTAACATGTGTTTTGTCTAAGAATTAAAGGGTTCGACCTTCCCTTACGCCTTGGTTGTCAATAATGAAAGGGATTAAATACTGATTTTGATTTTTTAAAATAAATAAATACAAAGCATTCCCCTCATATTTCAAATTTTTTAGATGATTCAAGAACGTACAACCCAAAAAAAGAAAAAAGAAAAAAAAAAGTTTATTTTCACTTGTTTTTTTAAAAAATTATTATTATTATTATTATTTAATCCATTCATTTTTTGAATGCTTACTGTGCTTTAGAGTTGTACTCTCTATCACTGACCTTTCTTCTTTTGCGTTACAGGTAGAATAATTTGTGGAAAAATAGTAAGCGGGGCCGAGTTATTGGCGAGGACTAGCATAACAAATATTCCCATAGAAATGAAACCCAAATGAACGAACTGAATTCCAATTCGACCACGTGTCGCAAGCTGTCAGGTCTCACTAGGACACGTAACAGGAAATTTTACGTTCACTTACCGTACACCATCACACTATACTACATTTATTAATTAATAATCCATCTCATCATTAACTAATCACGATATATTGACTTTAATAAAGCACGAGAAATTGACAATAAAAACCCCGTTTTTGTGTTACCGGGAGGCGGGACTTTTCGGTAAACGGACTGCCGGTACATTGTGGAACACCCACAGTACAAGCACGCATGTAACCGGTGTACTCACCGCGGATTTACCGGGTATTGCCAGTCAATTCTTTCCTTTACAGCTACATTCACTTCCCCGTTAAACGCCTTCAGAAGCTAGTTCCCAAAAGGTTTCCCGTTTTCCTTGTACGACAAGGACACTTGAAGCAACAATCCCAAAGACTCTAAGAAAGAGGAAATTACTAATGCCAAGAGTTTTTTTAAAATTGGTTGAGTGTGAGCATAAAAGCGAGTCAGATTAAAGTTTTGTACGCTACCGAAAACGAATTCTTTGTTGTAACAGCACGGTACAATACAGTAGCAGAAATATTTGTGATCGCTGCTCACATGTCAATTCAACTATGCAACACACATAGAATATGTTCCTTCTAACGTATCAAAGTTAAAAGTGATCAAAATTGTTATGGTGCAAGAAACTTTGGTGGTAAAGTGACATGAGGTTTTATGGGAATTTTGATGTAGCAATTTGCCACTAATCTAGGGAAGGAATTAGGTAACAATTGAAGAAAACCTTTCCGATCAATTTTGTTTACAAAAAAGTCCATAACGAGAATATTTTTAGTTAACACCCCAATTCTAGAAAAATTTTAGAATGCTCGAGAGTATTGTATCCCCAGATATTCGTTAAATGCAGTGGTGGGGCCACTTGATGGATGATTCAATAGTTATACTAAATCCTCATTTCTCAATTATTGAAGAAAAATGCTTCATAATAACTGATTTCTATTTTTCACTACCTTTACAATTAGAATAAATGAGCAATTTGAGAAATCTAGGGTCTATGATTAATTTAATTTATCATATAGATTTTTAGGGTTTTCTCTAGTAGATAATAATGATAGTAGAGTATAAATGTTGATAATTAAAAGAAATGAAGAATAATGCTATACAAATAGAATCTGTGCACATAAATTTCTATGTAGTAGAAACACTGAACATGTTACTCTCAAACTTGCATTTTTCAAAAGGAATATGGAAATTGAAGTGTTACGTTATCTTTAAAAGGTGGACTATAAGTGGAAACGTGTGAACAACTAAGATTCAACAATACCCAAATGCTCTTATCAAATAAAAGCAAACAACCAAAACTCTTAAAATATGGATAAGTTTAGCCAAAAAAATGTTATATTGACTAGTTAATTGCAGCAGTGCACTTAGAAGTTAGACCACCACTGTCACACATGTACTATTATATAAGGACAAGCATGGGAATTATGTCTTATCTAGTATTCTACTCACAAAAGCATACCCTGAAATAGATATAACAAGTTGCCATCAAATTACACACATATTACAACCATGCCATTTATTTTCTATTGTTCCTTTGGCACTTTTAAACGCTACATGATGGACCACGGCCAGTCAGCCACCTTTCATTTCCTCTATATAAAGCCCCTTCTCCTCTCCTCTCCCACACCCAAAACACAATCCTCTCTCTCCCTTTTAATACAACTCTAGCTTACCCCAACTCCATTCATTCCCATCTCTCTCTCTCTCTTTCTCTCGCTAAACAACAAACACTGCAAACAACACCATGCCTGAAGCTCCAAAGAACACAGTGAACAAGAAAGCTCTTCAGTTCATTGAAGATGTCACAGCCAACGCCGATCAAGTCCAGAAGCAAGTCCTGGCTGAAATCCTCTCTCGCAACGCCCGCGTTGAGTACTTACAGCGACATGGCCTTGGTGGCCATACCGACCGAGACACCTTCAAGAAACTCATTCCTGTCATCAAGTATGAGGATGTTCAACCTCACATCAACCGCATCGCCAATGGCGATAAGTCTCCCATCCTCTGCTCCCAACCCATTTCAGAGTTTCTAACTAGGTGCTTACTGTCCCTTCTCTATGATTCATAACTTCTTTATAATATAGTATGCGTATATATATATTGTATATGGTTTTTTTTAATGGGTTGATTAATTTTTTGTTTTTGGATATGTAGCTCTGGGACATCTGGTGGGGAGAGAAAATTGATGCCTACCATTGAAGAAGAGCTGGAGAGGAGGTCACTGCTTTACAGTCTTCTGATGCCTGTAATGAACCAGTTTGTTCCTGGTTTAGACAAAGGCAAAGGAATGTACTTTTTGTTCATAAAAGCAGAGGCTAAGACTCCTGGTGGGCTAGTCGCTCGTCCTGTTCTCACTAGCTACTACAAGAGTTGCCATTTCAAGAACAGGCCTTATGACCCATACACAAACTACACTAGCCCAAATGACACCATTCTTTGCCCAGACTCCTACCAAAGCATGTATTCCCAAATGCTTTGTGGGCTATGCCTAAGAAATGAGGTCCTCCGGGTCGGTGCCGTTTTTGCCTCCGGCTTCATCCGGGCAATTCGGTTCCTAGAAAAGCACTGGAGCCTTCTGTGTAGAGATATCCGGAATGGAACCATTGATCCCCAAATTACCGACCCGTCGGTGAGAGAGGCTGTGATGAAAATCCTCAAACCCGATCCAAAGCTTGCGGATTTTATGGAGGCCGAGTGTAGAAAGGAGTCATGGCAAGGGATCATAACTAGGTTGTGGCCTAACACCAAATATGTGGATGTTATTGTGACAGGCACTATGTCACAATATATACCCACTCTTGACTATTATAGCAATGGCCTGCCTCTTGTGTGCACCATGTATGCCTCCTCTGAGTGCTATTTTGGTGTCAACCTTAACCCTATGTGCAAACCTAGTGAAGTCTCTTATACCCTCATTCCCACCATGGCCTATTTCGAGTTCTTGCCTGTTCACAGAAACAATGGTGCCGCCAATTGCATCACCATGCCCAAATCCCTTAATGAGAAGGAACAGCAGGAATTGGTTGACCTTGTCGATGTCAAACTCGGACAAGAATATGAACTCGTTGTCACCACTTATGCGGGTAAATCTTAATTACCTCCCTAACTCACTCTTGACTTTTAATTACTACAATCAAATTCACTCTAACTATAGCCTTAATTAATACACAGTTATAATGGATTTGTTCTTGAATATGCATGCAGGACTTTATAGGTACAGAGTCGGTGATGTGCTTCGAGTGGCTGGATTCAAGAATAAGGCCCCCCAATTCAACTTCGTTTGCCGGAAAAATGTTGTACTAAGCATTGATTCCGACAAGACGGACGAGGTTGAGCTACAGAATGCGGTGAAGAACGCAGTGAACCATTTGATGCCTTTTAATGCAACTCTCATTGAATACACGAGTTATGCGGACACTTGTACATTCCCAGGCCACTATGTTCTATTCTGGGAGCTTAATGTGAATGGGTCGACCCCGATCCCACCTTCTGTATTCGAGGACTGTTGCCTGACAATCGAAGAGACACTCAACAGTGTGTACCGCCAAGGCCGTGTCTCGGACAAGTCGATTGGGGCTCTGGAGATCAAGGTTGTTGAAGCAGGGACGTTTGATAAGCTCATGGACTATGCCATCAGCCTAGGTGCTTCAATCAACCAGTACAAGACACCAAGGTGTGTGAAGTTTGCTCCAATTATTGAGCTCCTGAACTCAAGGGTGGTGTCTAACTACTTCAGCCCGAAATGCCCAAAATGGGTTCCTGGTCACAAGCAATGGAGCAATAAAAATTGAAGGATTAGGGGGAACCTAGCTTCATCTGTTGTTCTTTGATAGTTTCATTGGAGGTCCAAAAAAGAACTGTTTTTGTGATCATTTTAGAACGAAGTCACAAAGTTTACCCTGTTAGATTAACCCAACCCATCTCTTTCTACCAGCTGCACTCTCTGTGTTTTAATTTTTGTTATTGTAACACTTATTTAGTATTAGGGACTTCAATTTAGCTATGTACAAAAACAGTTCCGGTTTCAAATCTCTCTCTCTCTCTCTCTTTCTCTCCTTTGAATGTTTGTTTTATTTATTGCAAATTCATCACAAGTTAGAGAATATTGCTTTCTTAATTCCAGCCAGGAATTCAGCCCACCCAACTTTCATGGAATATGTATTAAAACGGCAATAGATAGCCAACCCCATTTGGGATTCCTCCTTTTAATTAAATTATTGGCCTTATTCAAATAAAATAAGATGATTGTGTCACTTGAAAAGTAGACCTACTTTCTCCCCCATTTGTAAAGTTTCGGATCAAGACTAATCTTTAACACTTTCCTAGAAAATAAACCTGTACAGCTAATCAGTTTTTAATCTCTTCCCCCGTAAAGTTGTATGAAATGCTTTTGTAATTGTACGTTACATGATTACCAATATAATAATATCATATGTATATAGGCAATGCAACTTTTAACCACTGGTCACCACCCTTTTATGTAAAAATAAAAAATAAAAAAATAAGGCCACCACACCACCCAATACATTCATTAGTACTTGTGTGTAAGTTAAAAATGGGTAGTGGCGAAAGAGAAAGAGGTAGGAGTAAAGGACAGAGAAGATAACGATGGATTTGAAATGATCAGAGATTGTTCCCCTTATTTGCGTTTGTATGGAGTAAAAAAAACAAAAACAGTTGGGGGGTGGTCAGACAATTACAAATGCTTTCAACAACACGTCCAGAAAAAGAGAGAGACAAGTGCACAGACAGCTTCACTAAAAATGCTTCATTAAAGCTACTACTGATGTTGAGAGAGAAAAAGAAAGCCAATGAAAGAGACTCACCACTGCTCCTCCAGACACAGAGTGGTGTCTACTACATACTTGATAAGGTCTGGTGTTCCACACATATTTCTGCATCTTTTTCATGCTCCATATATATATCTTCTGTAACTATCAACAATAACACTGCACTCCATCTCCCAAGTCTTGATAATACTCTACAAGAAAAATCAAAGTATAGTACTAGTACTAATTAGCACACTAAATTTTAATTTAATACTTGCATAACTCATGTGCGTGCTATAACAGTATCAGATGAGATCAAAACAAATCTTCCTCACATTTACTATATATGTTACTTCTATCTAAACTTCTCTACAATCAAAACATCATTGAATTTTATCAAAACCAGTTATGCTTTTAGTAATTAATTAATGATGACTCATCGTACAAAAAACTATACATTGATTTAACAATAGTTAATATTGCTTTGACAGTAAGAGCGTTGGTTAAAAAGTAATTAGATGTGACTTTTGACTGCCATCTCTTTCAGGAGCAATGTCATAAAGGTATATATAAAGAAGTTCCCATACTGGAAAAACATGGCTTAGTTTGGCTAGAATAGGGTAAATTATTAAAAAGGACCTCCACCTATTTTTTCTTTTTCTTTATATATATATATATATATATATATATATATATTGCTGACATCTACAATCAGACATTTCCGACCAATGCCATTTGCAAAGTATGTAAATTAAAAGGAAGAAATATAAATTTTCAAACAAAAAGAACAGTAAAACCTAATGGGAGATATATTAGTGCTTCATTTCTGTAAGCAACTTTGAAATTGAAAGCATATTCAATCCTGGGTGAGTTGTGGATAAGAATTTGAAAGCAGTCTTCACCTTATAGGCTTACATAATCCAATAGTGACAACTGTTGGGTGACTTCAATTGGTTGCTTTATTTCGTGCCATCTAAATGTCTAAAAATTGCTTGCTTGATTTGAAGGGGATGAAGACACACTATAAAGAAGGATGGAAAGTAAGTAGTGATGGCTCCTGTAGTCCACCTCTGTTGTTGGATTGAGTTGAATTGACGTGAAATGACTTCTGTAATTGACTTTAATCTATGGCACAACCCCAAAAACAAAGGTGAAGTTTCAACTAATTAATTTTAAATTTACTTTTAATTTTATATCATCTAAAAACATAAATCTTACTCAAAAAAAAAAAAAAATACCCAAGTCATATATAATTACCCTATGAAACTTTTAAACACTAAAACCAAACTATTTTCAAGTAAAAAAGTGTTAAAAAGTAAGTCTACCATAAAATATGTTCAAACTATAACTCACACTTTAAACCATTAGATCTAGAATACAGACTAATTATCTCGTTGAAGATACGAACTTCCCTACATTTTTTAAAAAATTACTTTTGATAGTGTAAGAAAATATACCTACATTTATTTTAAAAATTACTTTTGATAGTGTAAGAAAATATATGATAGCACCTGAATTGGTTAAGACTATGACACTGGATAGAGCAAAATAAAAACATATGAAAAAAAATTTTGATTGATATATGTTGGTGTACATTTGGTATAAGGGATTGAAGGGGAGAGAAAGAAGGTGGAGAAAGCTTCCATTATTAGGTAGAGAGGGAGAGTAAAGAAAATGATGATGCGCCTTTTGAACCTACCATTTTACTTCCATCCAAAATTTAAAAAGGGAAAGGAGAGAATAAAAGATATTTGTCATACTAAGTTGAAAAGACATTACACTTATTAAATTTTTAAAGGAAAAGGAAAAAGAAAAAGTTTATTTTTATTGGATATACTAGTGATTAAAAGATTTAAATCAAAGAGTAAAAAGATTACTACTATATAATAGCATAAATAGGAAATAATTAAAAGGTAGCAACGTGATATAATATATATATATATATATATTACAAGAAAAGTAATAGTGATGGAATCACAACATAAACAATCTATTGTCCAAACTAGCAGATTGTAAAATAAGAGAGAATTTTTATTGAATTACAAAAGAGTAAGAAATACAAGGATTTTCAAATTGCAAAGATATAAAAAAAATTAAAAAGTGAATCAAAGAAAATTGTAAATAGAAAAAGATAAATGCATTAGATGGTTTATATGAAAAGGCTATTTAAAAATTAGGAAAAGGTAGAGACATGTTGACTTAGATATATGGATTATCTTAGGTACATAAACCAAACAATATTAGTGAAGATGCAAGAAATTCATACCCTCTTTCTCTCTCTAGAATTCTTACACTTCAACCAAAAGATCCTCCTATTCTTTCCATTCCTTCCCTTATTTATAGATATTTACAAGATATTTACAAATATTGACGGATTGCTGGATCTGGACCTGTTCCTCCATAAGTCCTGGTCACCTTTGATGGGCTTATTCGCGTTCGGCCCATGTGGCAGTGTCTTTTTATGGGCCGACCCAGCTGTACGGACCGGATGTCGTGCTTGCAAGTCAGATCCGGCCCATGTCATCCTGGGCCTCCTCAACTGCCCCCATAATTGCCCCTTATTTAATAAGGGGGTAATTATTGATGGCGTCTCATCATGACGTTGACGGCTCGAGAAAGCCACGTGGGGGAACGGACGGTCAGATCCAGAATCAATGTTCCGGGGCTCGATGAATTTCTCGCCTTCCCGACGCTTCGGCCCTCGGGCCCCCCTCGCCTTTATAAGGCTCTAGAATACCACTTCACGTCCTTTTACCGTCTCCATCATCAGTCAAATCTCTCTCTTTCTAGAACAGTGCTAAGCTTTTCCTGGTGAAATCCTTCAAGAGTCATTCTTCCAGCGATCTTGCAGTCCTCTGAGGTTAGTTTTGTTCCTTTTTACTTTCGGCAGGCTTCTATTTACCCCCTTTTAGATCCTTCAAGCACTTCCACCATGGTTGTAGATCTGGATGTTCTTCGTATGAGACTTAGACTTCCTGACAACATCGAAGTTAGGGTTTCCCCTCAGGACGTTAACATTATGACCGGTGCCGGCCTCCTGCCCGGCGAAGTCTTATTCACGAACCTTCAATTGAATGTCGTTAGGTTCCCTCTGCACCCTTTCTTTAGTTATGTCTTCAATAGATTGGGGATATCCCCCCTGCAGGTAAACCCCAATTTCTTTAGAATCATATCCGTTATGCTCCTGTTGATGCGTGACAGAAATCTGGACCTTGACCTCATAGACCTTCTTCTGTGTTATAAGGTCAGTAAGATCCGTACTAACGAACCCTTCTACCACCTCTACCCGTTCGAGAAGATGTCCATATGTACGGACACAATAAAATCTGAAAAGGGTTGGAGGGATAGCATCGTGGGTATTAGTGGGGCTTGGTCTTCGCCGGCTGCAGAGGGTTACCCAATCCCGAGCGCCTTTGGTGTCTGTTCTGTTTCCTCCTATAAGAAATTCAAATCTCATAAACATGATTGCCCCTGCGAAACATGCGTTCCCCGTTTTTGTACTTTCTTATGCCGTTCCTTAGGAATACCTTGTGATGACTTGAGCTACAGTGTTTGCAGGGATAGGAGTAATTACTTGAAGAAATACGTTCTGAACGATATTCCTTCCTGCTCAGATCTCCTCACTTCAGACAACCTCTTAGCGCTCTCATCACTCGGCTACAACATGAGCAGGCTTCAGATTCCTTCTTTTGGCAGGAAGAAAAATACTCCCCCAGCCACTCCTGCTGCTGGGGCGACCTCCTCTCCAGCATCAGCCTCTTCCTCAGCCACCATCTCTGACACTATCCCGAGCACAGTGGCTATTAACTCCGTTGTCAGCACCCCTGCTGCCAACCCGAGCGCGTCTCCCCAAACTACCACAGCTCCTGCTGCCGCGGGGGGCGTTCGGGACAAAGAACGAGGCAAAAGGCCTCATCCTGACAGTGAAGTCGATCCTGAGGAGGAACCTCTCATAAGAAGGACCCGGGTCTCCGGGCCGGGTGCTCTCTTGCATCGTGCGATCAGAGCTCCTGCTCCCTCTGGGCCTACTGCAGCTGGTGGCTCCGCTTCTGCTTCAGGCCCCCCTTCTATCCCCACCTTACCGCCATGGGCCCCTCGGTACACCCGAACGGATGGGACGTTCGTGAAACCAAACGAGACCATGCTGAAGGATGGCCAGACCGCCATGGCGTACTATAGGAGCATGTGGACTCCGAAAGACCTTGAGGCGGCAAAGGGCCTATCCCAGAAGGATGTGTTCAGCCGTTTTCCCCAATCTGC